GTTGGGACTAAATAGTTAAGCGCCTAGGGCAAACAAATCATGAAAAACCCATTGTTAACATTATTAATATTCCAGTTCTGTTACAAATAAATGTTTAGATGTTTAAAACACTTACTGCTTGATCCTTCCCCTGATTCTGTGTCCGGGGTAACGGCTGGGGACGGTTGGTAGGGGATCTCTGTAAGGGTGATGAAGAGATCCTGGCTGTCGGGGAAATCAGCGGTGCAAGCGCTGTCGACTGCCTCGTCCTCCTCATCTCCTTCCTCATCTTCCCCGTCCGCTAACATGTCCGAGGAACCGGCTGCGGACAATATCCCATCCTCAGAGTCCATGGTCAGTGGTGGGGTAGCGGTGGCGGCCGCACCTAGGATGGAATGCAGTGCCTCGTAGAAACGGGATGTGTGGGGCTGGGCTCCGGAGCGTCCATTTGCCTCTTTGGTCTTCTGGTAGCCTTGTCTCAGCTCCTTGATTTTCACACGGCACTGCGTTGCATCCCGGCTGTATCCTCTCTCTGCCATGGCTTTAGAGATCTTCTCATAGATCTTTGCATTCCGTCTTTTGGAGCGCAGCTCGGAAAGCACGGACTCATCGCCCCACACAGCGATGAGATCCAAGACTTCCCGATCAGTCCATGCTGGGGCCCTCTTTCTATTAGATTGCATGGCCATCTCTGCTGGAGAGCTCTGCATCGTTGCCAGTGCTGCTGAGCTCGCCACGATGTCCAAACAGGAAATGAGATTCAAACTGCCCAGACACGAAAAGGAATTCAAATTTTCCCGGGGCTTTTCCTGTGTGGCTGGTCAGAGCATCCGAGCTCGGACTGCTGTCCAGAGCGTCAACAGAGTGGTGCACTGTGGGATAGCTCCCGGAGCTATTAGCGTCGATTTCCATCCACACCTAGCCTAATTCGATATGGCCATTTCGAATTTAGCGCTACTCCTCTCGTTGGGGAGGAGTACAGAAGTCGAATTTAAGAGAGCTCTATGTCGAACTAAATAGCTTCGTGGTGTGGACGGGTGCAGGGTTAATTCGATGTAACGACGCTAAATTCGACATAAACGCCTAGTGTAGACCAGGCCTAAGGCTTGGGCTTGTTCTAATTGGAGTTTTTATACTTTTAATTTTTTGTTTCACTAATGCACCAGAAGTGTGTTACACGTCTCTGTATAACCCCCAAAATTTTATCCAAAGCTGACATTTTTCCTTGTAAGTCTTAATATTAAAGGAGTTTAAAACTACAGCACCAATACTACCTACGATATATTTTCCTATACTTTTTTTATTTTGTATAGTTCTGTTTCCCCATTGTTGTTGCCATGCTCGTAATAGAGGCAAGGCATATACTCCAGATGTTGTGCACTTATGTTTACTTGAGCAT